AGGAGATGGAGGAAAAAAGAGGATGAGAAGAAGGATGACGATGCCGTTTGGGAGCTTCTTGGGTCATTCTCGGGGCCTCCTGGGAGCTTTCTTGGGGCCTCTCGGAGGCCTCTCGGAGGCCTCTTGGAGACCTCTTTGGGGTCTTTGGGGGCTTCCTGAGGCCCTCTTTGACAGTCTTACGGCGTTCCTGGCCCGTCTAACGCTGTCGGAAGCCGTCTTGGCGCCTCAGGGCCAGCTTGGCGGCCATCTCGGGCGTCTTGGCGGCCTCTTGATGGGCCGTCTTGGAGCCTCGTGGGCCGTCCTGGGGCCATCTTGGAGGCCTCATGAGCGATCTTGAGGCAGTATCGGAGGGAGGAGAAGCGATACCAACACCACCAGGGGGCCCACCTCCAGCGAGGAGGTCCACGATGCCTCCCCGAGCTGGATGCTGGGGATGTCTCGAGCGAGAGGGGGGGGCCACACCACCAGGGAGACGCCCCTTGCCTCCTCGCACTTCCTCGCCCTGCTGGTGTTGGTGTCGCCTTTCCTTGTTCCCACAGTATGGGGGGTTCTTGGGCCGTCTTGGTCCATGGGAGGGCCGTTTTGAAGCAGATGTGAAACTCCTCCAAGACCTATCGAACATCACAGGATTTGGCATCTTCGGGCCTTCCTGGAGGCCCCTCTTGGGCCGTCTTGGGGGCCTCTGTGTGGCCTCTCGGGTCGTCTTGCGCCATCTTGGAGCTATCTTGGGCGGTCTTAGGTGCACCTCGGGCCGTCTTGGGTGCATCTTTGAGCCATCTGGGGCTCGCTTGGAGCCATATTGGCCGTCTTGGAGGCGTCTTGGAGGCATCCTGGAGGCCGTGTTGGCCCACGCGGGCCTTCTTGAGGCGATTTGGGCCAAGAGAGCTGGATTTTGGGAGCTTTCCGGGTGGCCGGTGCAGTGGACCGAAGCCCCAGGGGGAGTTTTGAAAAGAACCAAAACCTCCTGAAGTCTAGCGCGCTGGGCACCCCCCTGGCAAGACCACAAGGGGCGGCGGATCGAAGACGCCTACGGCGAACCACCGCCGCCCCCTTCTTTTTTGGAAGCGCCTGCGTGGCCGAAAGTTGGGTTTGAGCTTCGTCAAGCTATCTGGCCACACGTTCCCCGAGTGGGTTTCGAAAACCTTCGGGGAACACGGAGTCGGGCGAGCTATCGGGCCAGGGCGAGCTATCGGGCCAGGTGGTTTCCGAGCTTTCGTGCCTTCCTGGAGAACGTCTCGGAGGGGTCTTGGGCCGTTTTGGAGGCCTCTTGCGGGCCTTTTGGGCAGTCCGAGGCCATCTTCAGGCCATCTTGGGGCCATCTTCGCTGTCTTGGAGGCCTTCTTGGCCGTCTTGGAGGCATCTTGGAGGCCATCTTGGCCGTCTTGGAGGCCATCTGCGGCGGCCTCGGGGCCATCGTGGGCCGTCTTGGGCTCTTCTTGGGGCCCTTTTGGTGGCCTCTTGTCGGAAATTGGAGCATATACATTACCAGTGGCGGGCTGTTTTTCAATCCCCAGATTTTTGTAGGGTCGGGGACGACGTCGGGGCGGTGTGGTGTATACTTTTACCCCGCTCTCCCGAGAAAACAACGAAATATGTATACACCAGGATCCCGTATACACCAGGATCCGCTTTCCTGTGCGAGTTTCGGTGCAGGGCCCGGAAAAGCGTCGGTGTATAGAGTTCGGTTCCCTATCTTGGGCTGTCATGGGGCCATCTTGGAGGCCTCGGGCGCTCTTGGGACGATGTTGGGGGCCTCTTGGGCCGTCTGAGGCCGTCGGAGAGCTGATAAGAAGCGAATGCCAAAATCCTTCCCAAACCTAAGGGAAGTCAATGATTTTTGCCCTTTCTGGCTTCCCTGGAGGACGTCTTGGAGCGCTCTTGGGCCGTCTTGGAGGCCTCTTCTGGACCTTTGATCTTGAGGCGATCTTCGGGGCCTCTCGGGCCGTCTTGCTCCGTCGGAGTACTAAGAAGAAGCAAATGCCCAAATCCTTCAACAACCTAAAGAAAAACAATGATTTTGGCTTCTTCGGACCCTCTTGGAGGACCTCTTGGAGGCCTCTTGGGTTGTTTTGGACCGTCTTGGAGGCTTCTCGGGTGAGCTTGGAGGTGTCTTGGACTCTCTTGGGCCGTCATGAGGCTGTCTTGGACCATCTTGGGCGGACTTGGAGGACATCTTGGACCATCTTGGAGGCCATCTTGGGCCAACGTGGCCATCTTGGAGGCCATCTTGAGCTGTCCTGGAGGATTTTTACCAGATTGAGATCCTTTCCGGGTGGCCGGCGGGACGCGCCAGAGCCCCAGGGGGAGTTCCACCGCCCCTGTTGCTTGCAAGAGGGGTGCCTCGCGTGCCACATTCTATTGTTTTTGGTTTTGGTTCTTTCCCAATAGAACTCCCCCTGGGGCTCTGGCGCGTCCCGCCGGCCACCCGGAGAGGAACTCAATCCGGAAAACAATCCTCCAAGACAGCTCAAGATGGCCTCCAAGATGGCCACGTTGGCCCAAGATGGCCTCCAAGATGGTCCAAGATGGCCCCCAAGTCCGCCCAAGATGGTCCAAGATGGCCTCATGACGGCCCAAGAGAGTCCAAGATATCTCCAAGTTCGCCCAAGAAGCCTCCAAGACGGCCCAATACGACCCAAGAGGCGTCCAAGAGGTCTTCCAGGAGGGTCCGAAGAGGCCAGAATCATTGATTTTCTTTAGGTTGTTGAAGGATTTTGGCATTTGCTTCTTCTCGGCATTCCGACGGATCAAGACGGCTCAAGAGGCCTCCAAGATCGCCCCAAGATCGCCCAAGAGGCCTCCAAGAGGGCCCCATGACGGCCCAAGAGGCCCCCAAGACGGCCCCAAGAGGGCCCCAAGACGGCCCAAGAGGCACCCAAGACGCCCAAGTTGGCCTCCAAGACGGCTAAGATGGCCCCAAGATGCCTCCAAGAAGGCCCAAGATGCACCCAAGACGGCCTAAGATAGCATCTAGATGGCCTCAGACGGCCCAAGGGGTCCCCTAGTGGCCTCCAAGACGGCCCAAGAGGCCTCCAAGAGGTCCTCCAGGAGGGCCCGAAGAGGCCCAAATTATTGATTGTCCTTAGGTTGTTGAAGGCTTTCGGCATTCCGACGGCTCAAGACGGCACAAGAGGCCCCCAAGATCGCCCACGAGGCCTCCAAGATGACCCCATGACGGCCCAAGAAGTCCCCAAGACGGCCCCAAGAGGGCACAAGAGGCCTCCAAGACAGCCAAACTGGCCTCCAAGACGGCTAAGATGGCCCCAAGATGCCTCCAAGACGGCCCAAGATGCACCCAAGACGGCCTAAGATGGCCTGAAGATGGCCCAAGACGGCCCAAGAGGCCCCCAAGAGGCCTCCGAGACGGCCCAGAAGGCGTCCAGGAGGTCTTCCAGGAGGGCGCGAAGAGGCCAAAATCATAGATTGTCCTTAGGTGTTTGAAAGATTTTGGCATTTGCTTCTTCTCGGTATTCCGACGGCTCAACGCGGCGCAAGAGGCCTCAAGATCGCCCAAGAGGCCTCCAAGATGGCCCCATGACGGCCCCCAAACCGCCCAAGAGGCCTCCAAGGCGCCCAAGATGGCCGCTAAGAACCCCTGATATGCTCCAAGAGGGCCCCAAAACAGCCCAGACAGGCCCCCAAGACGGCTTCCGACGGCGTCAGACAAGCCAGGAACGCCCTAAGACTGCCAAAGAGGCCCCCAAGAAGCACCCAAAGGCCTCCCAAAACCTTCCAAGAGGCCCCCAGGAAGCTCCCAGGAGGCCCCAAGAGTGCCCCAAGACGCGCCCACGGGGTCTCCTCCTCCTCCTCCTCCTCCTCCTCCTTTTTTCCTCATCCTCCCCCTCCTCCTCTTCTTGCTGCCCCACGCGTTCCCCGAAGTCTTTCCAAACCGACTCGGGGAACAACTGGCCCGATAGCTTGGCCAAGCTGTGGCCCAGCTGTCGGCCACAGAGGCGCTTCCAATGGGGCAGGGGGGCGGCGGTGCTTCGCCGTAGGCGTCTTAGATCTTTTGCAAAAGAACCATAACCAAAAACGATAGGATTTGGCACGCCAGGCACCCCTCTTGCAAGCAACAGGGGGCGGCGGATCTAGCGGCCTGGGGCCCATTCCGCCACCGCGCCTAGGTTGTAGGTCAGAGCCTGGAGCTTCTGGAGGGCTTCTCAGTGGCCCGCGTGCCGTCGTGGGGGTCGTCCTGGGGCGGGGCGATCGAAATCTCGGTGCGTGTTCCCACTCTGGGGCCTCTCTTGGGCCTCTTTTGGGCCCCTCTTGGGCCATCTTGGGGGGCTCTTTGGGCCGTCTGGGAGCCCTCTTGGGGCCTCTTGAGCCGTCTTAGGGCGACGTTGGGGTCCTCTTGGGCCGTAGTGGAACATGGAATACCAGAGAAGCCGAGAACGCCCAAATCCTTGAAACGCGTACGGCAAATCAGTGATGTGGGCTTCTCAGGGCCCTCTTGGGGGGCATCTTTGAGCCCTCTTGGGTCGTCTTGGGTCCCTTGTGGCTCCGGCAAATTCGTGCGACAAGACGTGGGGACACGCGACGCGCCCCAAGAGATTTGAGAATTTGGTGTCTGGGCCCTTCAATGTTCATGTGCCCAGGACTGAGGACTGAGGGCGCTCCAATTCGTGACTAAGGGCACGGTGGTGGATTGAGCTAATCTTGCTTAGTGCGTAATCTGGTTTAGTGGCTCCCAAGTCTGGCCCAGTAGCCATGAACCGTGCTTACGAAGACATCCCAGAAGTTGTTTCCTGTCCGTCCAGTCCTGCGTCCCGTCCTCCTCCTCAGCTTTGCTCCTCCTGCTTTCGCTGCCACGTGTGCCCCTGCTCCTTCACGCTCCTGGCGCCCCCTCTGGTCTGGGGGCTCTTGGCGCCTCCTCTGGGGGTCCTTGGGCCGTCCTTCTCGGAGGCGTTTTTTTGTGTTCTCTCTCTCTCTCTCTTCTCTTCTCTTTCTTTTTTCTCTCAATATATACACTACATATCCTTACATGTGTATGTGTTCTCCAGGCTGGAGGAGTTCGGGGACATGCTTTTCCCAAAGCATTGGAAGAAGGATTGGAAAGCAGTGACGGCGACTATCGGTCAGCAGCAGTTGGACCAGGCCTTTCTCCCACTGGACGACCTCATGGCGGAGGTCCACCAGTCCGTGCTGCGGGTGTTCTGCGTTTCGCATGTTTGGCTGCAGCACGATCACCCTGATCCGCACGGCCACAACCTTCGTGTTATCGGCAGATGTTTGAAGCTTCTGTCCAAGGACGCCTTCAACGGATACGCTGGCCACTGGGGCGTCTTTTTTGACCTGTGTTCCCTGCATCAGGGTTGCCGCGACTCTAAGGATAAGGCCCAGCCATATGTGTTCGAGTGGCTGGACAGCGAGAACCGATTCGCGCAGAATGCCGTGGGCCGCCGACCAGCAGAGGAGGAACTGTTCAGACAGGCACTCAAGAGTTTGGGCACCTTTTATGCATGAGGCTCTGCCGGCACGCCTTTCCCTCGCCATCCCCCCCCCGTCCTTCTCGTCTTCCGCCTCCTCGAGGGTCGAGGATCGTGTTTTTCCTTGTCTGAGTCTACAGTCAGCCCGCGTAGTAAGGATTGGCAATTTTTCTAAGGGTACCCTTGCATTCTTGCCTGCTTGGTCCATCCTTGGCCACCTTCGCTGGCCGCGCCCAACCCGAGAAGCTTCGAAACGGTCCCAGGCGGTCCCGCATGGGAAGAAGGAAAGGCATGGTTCACGACAGTTGCTACATGCAAGCTGGGTTTGCTGTGCCCCCATAGAGCTTCCTCTATACACGGGCGCTCCAGGCGCCTTGAATTTTCCCGCAACATGTCGATCCCACTTGAGCTGATCTGCCAATGTAGCGATCCCCAAAGCGACAGGTCAGCTACATGTAGTTGATCTGGCAATGCCCATTATTTGCAGCCCCTTTCTTCGACCACTCTGGTTCTCTCACTGCTCTTCCATCTGCCTTCTCATCAATGTCCTCATCGTCGCTTGTTTTGCAGGATCATTGTTCCTATCCTTCTTTCTCAGCGCTCCACAGTCTTTCATTCTGAACACCACTTTCCTCTCTCTCTCTCTCACCCAAGAGACCGAACGAGCGGGGTGCCGCTCCTTCCACATTTTTCTACAGACGCACCGGATGTCATTCTGTCGTATATTACGTGAGTGTTTTCCCAACCAGAGAGTTTTTTCTTGCTGTCCAGACAGTGCTCCCGCTGCAGCACTGGGCTCCTTCAAGGATCGGTGCTTTGCTCCCGTCGTTCAGCATGGCGATGTCGCCCCAGCGCGGGCCAAGCTTCAGGATCCGATTCCCTCCTGGTCGTTGTCGCCACCCTTCTGTCCCCTGCTCCGCACTCCCACGATCCTCCTGCTCGTCCCGCTCCTAATGCTCATGCTGCTGCCGCTCCTCCTCCTTCGTCCTCCTCATCCTGCTCCTCATGCTCATCTGCCACCTCTTTCCCCTCCAATGTAGACGTCTCCACTTTGCGCTGCGCGTTGCACGATGGGGTCGTCTTGGGGCATTCAGGTCCGCCTGAGCACCCATCGGCAGACAGAGAAAACACCAGCGCAGTGGAGAGGGGTGGATGGCAGGGGCAGGAGGACAAATCCTGCGCGTGTACCCTTTCTCTATGCTGTTCCCCTCCTCATCCTTCCTCTCCTCCCTCCCCTCCCCCGCCTTCTCCTCACCCCCCGACCTCTTCAGTCCCCCCTTCCCGACGCCATTCTCCCATCACTCCTCACCATCACTTTTCTTTCTGCTGGTGCGCGACGAGGAGAAGGTGGAGCAGGATGAGAGACGCAGTAGACATGAAGAGTAGGAGGTGGGGTGAGAGAGGATGAAGGGAGGGATGAAGGGCGCTCTCACCTTTGTTTGTGCAGCGTCTTTCTCCGGAGTTTCTTGAAGCTTCCTGAGCTGCGGGTCCGAGTCATCCTCAGGGTTTAGGGGTTTGCAGAACACCCGAATTTTCTCAGCGCGCAGGTTGATAGGCTATTCGCAGTGTTGCGCCCAGAAGCGCCCGCGGATACACATCCGTGCACTATTGTAGCCATGGTATCCAGTTTCCCCCCCGACTACGACGACTTGACCGTGTACACTCGGGACAGGCGCTGCGAGAATTACTTCAACAGGGGCTGGTGTTTTTGCGAAGCCTTGTGGGCCACCATGACGAAGGACAACACCCTGGTGCTGGACCTCCCGGGAGAAAAAAGGAGGAGGAGGAGGGGGAGGAGGAGGAGGAGGAGGAGGAGGAGGAGGGGGAGGAGGGGAGGAGGAGGAGGAGGAGGAGGAGGAGGAGGAGGAGGAGGAGGAGGAGGAGGAGGAGGAGGAGGAGGAGGAGGAGGAGGAGGAGGAGGAGGAGGAGGGAGGAGGAGGAGGAGGAGGAGGAGGAGGAGGAGGAGGAGGGAGGAGGAGGAGGAGGAGGAGGAGGGGGAGGAGGAGGAGGAGGAGGAGGAGGAGGAAGGAGGAGGAGGAGGAGGAGGAGGAGAGGAGGAGGAGGAGGAGGAGGAGGAGGAGGAGGAGGAGGAGGAGGAGGAGGAGGAGGAGGAGGAGGAGGAGGAGGAGGAGGAGGGAGGAGGAGGAGGAGGAGGAGGAGGAGGAGGAGGCAGGAGGAGGAGGTATGAGGAGGAGGAGGAGGAGGAGGAGGAGGAGGAGGAGGAGGAGGAGGAGGAGGAGGAGGAGGAGGAGGAGGAGGAGGAGGAGGAGGAGGAGGAGGAGGAGGAGGAGGAGGAGGAGGAGGAGGAGGAGGAGGAGGAGGAGGAGGAGGAGGAGGAGGAGGAGGAGGAGGAGAAGGAGAAGGAGGAGGAGCGCCCACGCGCCAGGAGTCGTTGCGCCTCCCGCGGTGCCCGACCAGGGGCTAACCTGGGCCCCCCCGGCACGCCGTGCACGCCGCCCTCCCTTGGCCGAGGCAGGGAGAGCCCGTGCACCCGCCCTGGGCCCCATGGACCCAGAGATCCAACGCACTGAAAAAGTCAAGGCGGAGGTGTTTCGCAGTTTTCGGCCTCCCCCCAGAGATCCAGCGTACGGAACAAAATCAAGGCGAAGGTTTTTCCCAATTTTCGGCCTCCAGGGGCACTCGCCGGGCCGTGGGACCGCCAGAAAACGGCCCAGGATGAGAGACCGGTCCTGGGGAACGAGTCGAGACTTCCAGGGACCGCGTATTGAACAAATCACGACGTCGGATCTTTGGGCCCGTGCCATGCCCCCCGCCGGTGTAGTACGTGCGCGCGGAAGGTGCCGCCGCCGCGGCCGCCGCTGCGGCCTCGGCGGCGGCCGGGGGTATCGCGGCACTGCCGCGCGGACGGAGCAGGTCGAGGTGTGCCGAGCCGCGCTCATCGTGGCGTCGTTGGCCTCCCATCCGTGGATCTCGGCAGTCCCGGCGCCTGCTGCACACGTTCGCCGGCCCAGGGTGGGCACACACGGAGGCCGCGGCGGCGGTGGCCACTCCTCTCGCCCAGGCCCTCGTCGTCACGGCTCCTCTGGCCACGGCGCGGCTCCCCTGGGGGGCTTTCGACGGCGTCGCCAGATCTCCGACGATATGATTTTCGTCACTCGCAGTTTCTTCGTGATCTCGGCTCTCCTCGGGCCGCTTTCGGGCCCCGTGGCCATCAAAGAGTGATCATGGCCGACTGCTTCCTGGAAGCGGTCGGGACCTCTGGGGCCGCGGATGGAACAGATCACACATGCTGCCTCATCTTCTAGCAGGCCGTGCTTTGATGGCCCCCGGGGCCCGAACGCGGTCTGGAGGTGGGCGCTGAGATCGTGAAGTCCCCCCACGTGGTGACGCAAGAAGATTAGGGGATATCAAGGGGACATCTCGAGGAAGAAGAAGAAAAAGAAGAAGAATAATAAGAATAATAATAATAATAAGAAGAATAATAAGAATCAGAATAATAATAATAATAATAAGAAGAACAATAAGAATAATAATAAGAAGAAGAATAAGAAGAATAATAATAAGAAAAATAAGAATAATAAGAATAATACGAAGAATAATAATAATAATAAGAATAATAATAAGAATAATAATAATAAGAAGAATAATAAGAATAATAATAAAAATAATAATAAGAATAATAATACTAAGAAGAATAATAATAAGTGGCAACGCATGCGCTTTCGGAGGTCGGCGCGGATCTCCTGGGTCAGCGCTGGCCCCCCCGCCAGGGGCGCCTCCAGGGGTGCTCCAGCACCAGTCCAGGATACCTTGGCGGGCCTCCGAACATTTGAATGTTTGCCGCTTCTTGTTGTCATATCCTTCGGATGTTGCCAGAGGCGTCCTGGTCCCTGCCCCACAAGGTGCCCGCAGGATTTCCGAAGACGCTCCCCGTGCACTCCAGAGCACCCATCGGGAGGCCCATGCAGAGGGACCCAGGAGATCCGGACCCTCTGGGTCGAGGGGGCACCTTTCCTGAGATCCGACGCTGCGACCCAAAATGCAGCATCGCGAAAAGTCAAGACCACAGCCCCAGACCCAGTCGTTCTGCTGCGTACCTCGAGCCGCATCGATCTGCGATGCTCCCGGGGCTCGAGACCTGGCGAGAGCGCTTGGTGTGCAGTCGTTTCAGCGCCTGGATCTCGTCCGATGCCTGGATGTTTCCAGTGCGCGGTCCCTGGACGCCTCGACCCCCGGGACGGGCTCGTCATCCCGAGTCGTCTTTGGGCGGCCCCCGGGCCCGGCACGGGCCCACAGAGGCCGAGAACGAAGACCTCGCGCAGTGATTTTCCCATGACCCGAGGGGGCCTGGGGGTTCCGCGCACCCCCGAACTCTCGCTGCCCCGCAGGACTTGGGAAAGGACACTGGGAAGAAGGCCGGCTTCTTCGGCCTGCGGGCCCAGTGCCAAGCGGACCGGCGGCCTCCCGTGCTGCCGGCCTCGTTCAGCGAGGAGCTGCAGAAGAAGTGGCTCTCGGCGGAACCTCCTTGCTCCCCACAGTACGCTGCAACTTCAGGGGCCTCGTTTGTTCTGTCAACAGCTGTCCTCTTCTGGTGCAGGAGGAGGAGGAGGAGGAGGAGGAGGAGGAGGAGGAGGAGGAGGAGGTGGAGGAGGAGGAGGGGAGCAGGAGGGAGGAGGGAGGAGGGAGGAGGGAGGAGGGAGGAGGGAGGAGGAGGAGGAGGAGGGAGGAGGAGGAGGGAGGAGGAGAGGAGGAGGGGGAGGAGGGAGGAGGAGGGAGGAGGGAGGAGGGAGGAGGAGAGGGGAGGGAGGAGGGAGGAGGGAGGAGGGAGGAGGGAGGAGGGAGGAGGGAGGGAGGGAGGAGGGAGGAGGGGAGGAGGAGGAGGAGGGGGAGGAGGAGGAGGAGGAGGAGGAGGAGGAGGAGTAGGAGGGAGGAGGAGGAGGAGGAGGAGGAGGAGGAGGAGGAGGAGGAGGAGGAGGAGGAGGAGGAGGAGGAGGAGGAGGAGGAGGAGGAGGAGGAGGAGGAGGAGGAGGAGGAGGAGGAGGAGGAGGAGGAGGAGGAGGAGGGAGGAGGAGGAGGAGGGAGGAGGAGGAGGAGGAGGAGGAGGAGGAGGAGGAGGAGGAGGAGGAGGAGGGAGGAGGAGGAGGTTGACGAGGAGGAGGAGGAGGGAGGAGGAGGAGGAGGAGGAGGAGGAGGAGGCGGAGGAGGAGGAGGAGGAGGAGGAGGAGGGAAGGGAGGGAGGGAGGGAGGGGGAGGGAGGGAGGGAGGGAAGGAATAGGAATAGGAATAGGAACCACTGGCGATGCCAATCCATACAATGCTACCCTCGGCCTCGCTGGGCCAATTCGGCCTTGCTGAGGACCTTGGGGGGGAGCCCTTCACGAATTCTTCTGAGGTGCTCACGGCCCGTTGCTGACAACTTGTTCGTACAAGGCTTAGCAAGCGAACGGACTTGCTTGTCAGCAATGGCCCCACACTTCCCACAGAACCAACAATTCAGAGAGGCGTGCACATTGAGGTGGTGAGAAGGATGCAGCCAGCCCCCCCCGACGTGGATCCGTCCTCCGACTGGAGGAGAGTAAATCAGACCATTCACATTCACTAAGCTGTGGCACTCCGAGGCGTGCCATTCCTTTAAAGTGTCCAAGGACGCAGAGCCGTGGCACCTCAAGCATCTCTTTCGGCAGTCGGACAGCCGATGTCGAGACAAGAGAGCAGCAACAGCAGCAGCAGAGGGGGGCGGCGGGGGGGGGGGAGGCGGAGGGCCTCCACGCCTTTTTCTTTCACCACTCCGCTCCAGCTGTTTTTCCTTAGCCAGTGCATCCACAGTCGCACGAAGGAGGCGGAGGCGCACCAAACGTGCGCGCCGCTCGTGCAGCATCAGACGGTAACGCTGGTCCTCGGGCACGCGGGCCTGTGCAGCAGCCAGGCCCGCAAGCTCGTCCACAACAGCGTTGCCAAGAATCAACGTACGTATTCCTTGCCCGTCGGCCACCTGTGTGGCCGTCATATGAGAATGTGTGAAGAGGACTGACACATGATGAAACGGTCTGTGGGCCATGAGGTCACCGATGGCCGCCCACAGGTCAGCGTCAGCACCTCTTGGCTGGCGAAACCGTTGTTCGTACCAGCCTGTGACTACATCTGCAAAGTCAGTGACAAAGGTGAGGAACTGCGTGGTGGCCCAGAGGGCCAAATACAAACATTTTAGTTCGCCTCTGGCTACAACCTGCCGCGTGCCGCTGAGTGGCCCAAAGATCGAGCCACGCGGAACGATGGCGGGCTGCAGGCGGGCAAAACACGTGATAGCCAGGCCCACTCGTCGGAGCCTGGGACTGCGGCTGTCGGGCCCTCCGCTCGCGTCGCCAAAGATCAGCACAGGGTCGGAAGGCGACCCTGGGCCAAACTGTCCTGGCTCCAGGTGTGGGGCGCCAGTGAACTGCCAGGCGTCCTCTGCAGGCGGTGGGCTCACTTCCGTCCAGGGGGCAGGTAGAAGTCCTCGAAGCCAGAAGGCCTCAGCGGTGTTGCACTGCGTGACGGCCTGCGTGCACAGGTCATCGGAGTCGGTGTACGGCTTGGCGTCCGCGTTGCACGAGCACTGCCAGTACCTGTGCAGAGGGGTGTCCACCTCGGTGCCGCAGCGGTCGCACTTGTCGGTGCCCGTGTAGTTCTTGAGCTCCTGCTTCTTCCGTTCGTTGTTCCAGATGCCGCCTGACGCCACTAGCACCATGATCTCGCACAACCTTTTGCCGTTGGGGACCTGCGCCAGGTGCTTGAGTAGCTGGATGTATGAGGTGTTGTCGACGCCCAGCTCCAGGCCCCCGCCGCAGAAATGACGTGCTGCCTGGGTCCAGAGCTGAGCCTCACAGAACTTACGAATGTCTGCTAGCAGGTGATCGTGTCTATCCACATGCGCGTTGCCTGTGTAGATGCTGTCTGGAAACTGCCACTCCTCGCTGCTGTCGGGGCCTGTCTGGTAGGACCACGTGGACGGATCATGTGGGGTCCAGCCAAGCCTGAGCAGCGTGTGTATGATGGCCCCCGTCGGGCCTCGGATCTGCCGTACCTGTGCTGGGACGGGTACAGCCTGCATCTGCTTTAAAATGATCGGCCACGCCTTGCGAACACCTGCTCGGATATCTGGGCAATCCCTCCAGATCTTGAGCCAAGTGTCCACCGTCTGCACGGGGTAAAGCACTGCTGGGTCAGCGTCAGGGGCCCGCAGGGCCAGGACCGTGGTAAGGCATCGGCCGCGCGCCGATGAGGCGCATGTCTGAGCCAAGCGTCGTCTGCACCTGGTCAACTGCTCGCCGAAGAGCCCGTGGACCTGGTGGCCGTAGACGCCCGCGGGGAGCCCTCCCTGGCGTTGGAGCTTGGTCATGGCGCTGTACTGGCGGGTGGCTCTGGTGAACCTGCGGATCTTGGTGCTCATGAGGCGATGCTTCGCTTCACGCTGCACCCTGGTGGCCCTCACCCTCCTGCCGCATCCGAAATCGATGCCGAGGTAGGTGGCTTGGGACACTGGCCGAATCGTAAATCCAGCACGTCGGACTAAGCGGGCAACAGCACGCGCGTCACTCATGAGGCTGCAGACCACGACCGATTTGTCCGCAACCTTGAGCCTCCTCGCCTGCAGCTCACGGCACGTGGTGATGATGCCACTGGCGAGCTCCAGGCGCACCGCCTTGCTGGAACCCTTGAATGTCTCCGAGACGTCGTCGACCCATAGCCTCGCCCCCATTCTCGGATGGGCTGTGGTGACCGTGACCATGACGTGGTGGGTCATCATCTTGGCGAAGCGGGTCCCCGAACGGAGACCCTGCACTACGCTGAGCTGCGGGTCGAACATCTCGGACACAGCATTGTCCTGCTCCAGACAACGGGGAGCAGCGCACTGTAACAATTCCAAATATAGGATAACAGGAGGAAAATCTAGCCGCAAAGCTGCGGCGACTAGGATGTCCCACGGGATGCTGTCGTAGAACGTGGCGATGTCGAGCATCCCGTGGCCGTACTTGATGCCCATGGCATGGGCAAGCTCCTCGTCCAGCGCCCTCAGGAAGGCCTCCTGAAGGCATGAGTTGCCTGGCAGGGCGGCGTCCCAGTGGCGAGCACTCTCGGCCGACCAGGTCTGGACTGTGGGTTCGCGCATCAATGACCACAGCCGTCCGAGCATCGATACTAGCCCGATGGCTCGGTCGCCGGCCGTCTTCTTGGGAGTGAGCTTCCCAATGACGGCCAACGTCTGCGCTGGCCACGCCAGTGTGGCTTCCACCGCCTCCAGGATGAGTAGCAACTCCGCCTGGCCCTCCGAGGGAAGCCTCTGGTAGTCGACGGGGGTGACCATGTCGATGCCCATGCCTGCCTTGGCCTTCATACGTGAGGCCGCCTTGCCGATGTCGGCCACGTGCAGCGACGGTAAGGGGTCGTCGCTGGCACGGAGCCTGATCTGCCTGAAGAGTTCGCGCACATCCTGCAACTTGGGCGCCGTCGGGGCCCAGAGCTGCTGGTACTTCTTCGCCTTCGCGTCCATGAGGTCCTTGGGGTGGTAGACCAGCTGCTGGCCGACCACAATCTCCACTGGCGGGAGAGGCCCCTTCTTCAGAGACTTGTGGAGGATGCCGTTGGCCTCAGGCTCCACCACCCACGAGCGGAAGTCATGGATGGCCGCCAAAACGGCCAACCTCTGCGCTCGCTGCATGACCTTCTTCGCTGCGTGAACGTAGGAGTCCAGCACAGCGGGGTTGATCTGACACTTACCCTCAAGGATTCTGATCCACTCGTGCCACGGAGGGTCGAGACCAGGGCGTAGCGCAGTGTGAGCTCCGTCTGGCCTGTCCACCGCCGCCTTCTGCGCCGCGACCTGGTACAGCTCCAGCTGCTGGTGGCCATTGCTGCGCAGGCGATGGCGGGCGATGGCAGCGACGATGGTGTGGACCTGCGTCCACCACTGCGCACGCTGATCACGTAGGTGGACCTGTCTGCGGTGGGCCGCTTGCCTGACAGGGCCCTCCACCAGCCTCGCGCCGTGCGCACGCCGTGTGCGAGGGAGGTCCAGGCCATGGTGTCTGGTGATGCTAAGCTCCACCGTGGAGATCCAAGCTGCATACATTCCTGAAACTACAGTAGAGTGGGGGGCCTCAAGCCGAAATGCAACGGACTTGAGGAGGGACGGAGAAAGAGAATGAATACAGTCCTGCCCCGAAGCAAATCCGACCTCACGCCTGCTCTCAACCCAAAGCTCGCTGGGGATCTGAAACGCAGCCGACGGCGAGGGGTCGCTTTCAGGGGCCTGTAACGGACTGGGCTCAGGGCCCGAAAACTGAAAAGCAGACCGGTTTAAATCGGGATTTAAATCTTCCCCTGAACTCGGTGGGGGGGGCTGGCCCGAATTGGGAGGGGAACTACACTGAACTGGTACGTGTCCAGACGCATGTTGTTTCTCCTGACTCAGAGCAGCACTACCACTACCCTCCGAGCTTGGGTCGGGAAGGTTGGGGTGACAGGGAGTGTCGAGGGCATTACTCAACCCCCTGTCGGAACAGAAATTGAGCTGGTCAGCCCACGGGTCGTCCTCTTCGTCGGGCCAACAATCTTGAGATTCATCGGCCTCATCGGGAGGGGCCTGACCTGCACCCTCCTCCGACGACGACGGGACCCCAGGGCTTCGAAAACAATCACCAAACAGCTCAGTAAACCTAGCTTTACGCGCCTCCAGGGCCTCCTGCTGGGCTGCTCCCTGGCGGGCCCTGGACACACTGGACTTAGAACCAAAAGTGGGCTCCTTGCTGGGCCTCGGGGCTTGAGGAAGCCTGGGGGAGGCCACGAGGGAGCGGGTGAGAAGCTGGAGCCCAGAGCTCCGAAACTCTAAGGCAAGACCCTGATGTGGCTTCCAAGGGACCGCACGCACAGCACAGATGGTTTTGAGAAACGGCGTGGCCTCGGGGCTGCACAGAACATAGTCGAGCACCTTGTCGCGCCCCTGTGGGTTGGCGCAGGTGCCCTCGGGGCCAGCTGTACGAATGACTCCATGCACATTCTGAACAAAACGGCTGGCTGCTAAGATGTCGGGCTCCATATTGAAGTCGCCCACGACCACCCATGGGAGCCTGATGGCCTTCAAGAGGCCTCCGAGCCGTTGGAACCTGACCTTGTTGTGGCCGTTCATCTGGATGCACGGCAAGGCGTAGAGCACCACCACGACGATGGAGTACCCTGCCATGTGCAGCACCATTGGAAGAAACCCATCGAGGCTAGCCTGGCCAGCCTCGCGCAGGTGGCCAGCAGCAACCTTGGCCTCAGGCAAGACGTGGGCCTGGAGGTGCTGCTGCGCCATGAAAAACTCGCCGCCTTCATTGGCCCGCTCCTCATGCTCCGCTGCCACAGATTTGGATGAGGGGCGGGCCGCATTGTGATGAAGCCGAAGGTGCGCCCCCCTCGCCTTCTTGTCCCACTCCCTGAGCTCCGACTCGGTGTGTATGTGAGTCTCTGCCCAGGCCCAGTACTCGTACTTGCAATAATTTAATTGGAGGTATTGCCACACCTTGGAAGTGAAGGCGGTGACATTAGCGTAGAACAATGTCGTCGTGCCCTCGGTGTGTACTTGTTGGTCTCGCGATAGTCAAGAGGAGGCCTCCGAGCCCTTCCCCTTGGCCTTGGCCTTGGCTGCCGCCGCCTCGGCCTTGGCCGTGAACTTGGCCTCCGACAACTTCTTGGCCTCCGACTCGATCTTCTCCGCGGCCGCCTGGGAGGCCTCAGCGTCCTGGGCCGTGGCCGTGGGCGCCGTGTCAGTCGGCGCGCTCGCCCCGACCTCTGGCTTGGCCTCCTTCTCTGCCGCTGCGGCTTGCCCGTCGTCGCCCTTCCTCTTCTTCCTCCTGAGGCGATCAGTGATATCATTCTGCATCTTCCTGGCGTTGTCGAGCCAGGCCTTGATCTCGGCTTCCTTGCCCGTCAGGTCCGTCTTGACGCCCTTGAGCTGCTCGTGGAGCGTGTCCAACGCTCGGCGCTCTTCGGGCGTGCACTCCATCTCGTCCAACGAGTTGAAGAAGCCCTCGTCCCACTCGACCTTGAACATGGCTGTCGTAGACGGCTCTGCTGTGGGCGGGCCCACGCCCTCCGCCTTGGCGACGGCGTGGGCGGCGGCCTTCTTGGCCGCAGTCGCCTGCGCCAAGGCCACAGCAGCTCTGCCCTCCTTGGCCTCGGCGGCCTCGAGGCTCTGCCTCAAGCGGAGCACGTTGTCCACGCACTGGCTGTGGTGGTGCTCCGCGTTCTTCCAGGCCCCGTCAGCCTTGCGGAGCACCTCGGCTGGGGACACCGCTGCCACGGACTCGGCCTTGGCCTGGGTGCTGATCTTCTCGATCTGCTTCTTGAGCGCCTCCTGCAGTGCCGCGTCCTCGGTGGCCTGGGCCGCCTGCTGGAGCAGCTCTGTCACGGAGGTGCCTGCCGTACCCTTCGCTGGCGAGCCCTTGGCTGCCCCGCCACGCCACGAACCTCTCGGAGAGTGGCTGCGCTGGCGGCCTCTCTGTGGGGCGGCGGCGGGGGACGGGGTCGCATCGGGCTGCACTTCATCCTCCCAATGTACTCGACGTCCTGCTGGCTTGAATAGCGTGATCGACGCACCACATCCTGAGCAAGCGTGCCCCTGCTTGACAATGATGGAGTTCCACTCGCATCGGCGGCACTGATCACATCTGGTCCACAACTGTGTCATGGCGGAATCTGGTCTCGGTGTTGGTCACAAACCTTGGGCTGTGGCGTGGCCCTCGGAATGGGTCCCTCAAACGCTGCGGGGAAGCCCCGAGAATCGTGCGCGTGGGGTGCTAAGGCCGCTGGGCCCCTGCACCTGCTTGCGCCCAAATTGCTTGAGGGGAGGGAGGGAAGGAGGGAGGGAGGGAGGGAGGGAGGGAGGGAGGGAGGGAGGGAGGGAGGAGGAGGAGGAGGAGGAGGAGGAGGAGGAGGAGGAGGAGGAGGAGGAGGAGGAGGAGGAGGAGGAGGAGGAGGAGGGGAGGAGGAGGAGGAGGAGGAGGAGGAGGAGGAGGAGGAGGAGGAGGAGGAGGAGGAGGAGGGGAGGAGGAGGAGGAGGAGGAGGAGGAGGAGGAGGAGGAGGAGGAGGAGGAGGAGGAGGGAGGAGGAGGAGGAGGAGGAGGAGGAGGAGGAGGAGGAGGAGAGGAGGAGGAGGCGGAGGAGGGGAGGAGGAGGAGGAGGAGGAGGAGGAGGGAGGAGGAGGAGGAGGAGGAGGAGGAGGAGGAGGAGGAGGAGGAGGAGGAGGAGGAGGAGGAGGGACACCTCTGCTCTGGGGTTCACCTGGCCGCAGACTTCTGAACCCCAGTAGGCGCTTTAATTCAGAAATATGACCTGCAAGGGCAGGGTCCACATCGTGTGGTCGCCTGAGTAAGGGAAGAGGAGGAGGGAGTGACAGTCGATGAGGAGGAGGAGGAGGAGGAGGAGGAGGAGGAGGAGGAGGAGGAGGAGGAGGAGGAGGAGGAGGAGGAGGAGGAGGAGGAGGAGGAGGAGTTGGGAGGAGGAGGAGGAGGAGGAGGGGGACGAGGTGGATGATGAAAAGGAGGAGGGGACGGGCAGGGCCCGTATGGAGGGGGCCAGGGCGAGCCCGCGTCGAGGTTCAGCCACGCGCCCACCGATCGTCCGAGGGTGGAGGAGCTCTACACCAAAGCGTTCTCAGGCCAGCTTCGCCGCCCCTCCTCCTCAGACCCCCATCGCGTCGTGAACAAGTCGCAAGGAGAGGCTGCTTGCCGTGTTCGACCTCTGGGGGCCATCACCTGGCCCCAGGACTGTCACAAGACGACGCAGGATGGAAAGCCGGTCCCAGGGACCACGTTGTGAACAACCGCCGCCGCCGTGAAAGGCCGACACTCGAGCGGCCGCCGCCTGCCTTGAGCCCAGGCGCGCGGCTCCCGAGGCCGAGGGTCGACGGTCGAGGGTCAAGGGTCAACGGTCGAGGGTCGAGGATCGATGGTCGAGGTTCGATGGTCGAGGGTCAAGGGTCGACGGTCGAGGGTCGAGACCTCTGAGAGTCCACGCTGTGAGCAACATCATGGCGTCGGGGGCTTTGGGGAATGGCCCCCCAGCCGTCGCCCGCCCAGCCTCGAGGAAGCGCATAAGCATGGAGCAACGCGCGCGGGTTCTCGACGCGCCCCATCGCCAAATCAGGATGAAGGAACGAGGATCGAGGATCGTCGGATCGAGGGTCGAGGGATCGAGGGATCGCGGGATCGAGGGATCGAGGGATCGAGGGGTCGAGGGGTCGAGGGATCGAGGGATCGAGGAATCGAGGGCAGCTACGCGGGCTTCATGCTTCGGCGTGTGCTTCTAGGCCTCCTAGATGGGGTCGGAGTAGATGGGGTCGGAGGATCGCGCCGCATCGCCGATGCATCGTCGATGTGGCTCGATGAGGGGTCCGATTTCCTCCACGCCGACGTCGCCGACGCATCGCCGACGTCGCCGATGCATCGCCGATGCATCGCCGATACATCGGCGATGTACTGGCGTTGCGGCGCGATCCGCCGACCCCATCTACTCGGACCCAACCTCGGAGGCCTCTAGTGCTTCTTCCCGAGCCGTGTTGACGCGTGCCCGACCTCCTGCGCCCTACCCAGGTCTCCAGCGTCTCTGGACAACGCAGGGAGAACAGTACCGATTCTGGCTCGCAATGTTTGGTGCCTGGAGGCAGTCTCTGGGCCCCGGGACGCAGACGTACCCGCACCACGTCGGAGTTCTGGGACCCCTCCTCCTCCTCCTCCTCCTCCTCCTCCTCCTCCTCCTCCTCCTCCTCCTCCTCCTCCTGGTTCCTGCTGTGGTCTTTCCTCTGGCCTATCCTCCTCCCTCCCTCCCCCCGCTCCCGGGAAGTCAAAGTCACCCAGTGATATCGGCGCACGGACGGCTGCACTGCCGCGTCCGACCGGCCCCCTGCTCCCTCCCTCCCTCTTTGGAAATGGTTCGACGGATGAGTTGATGTTTTTTTCCCACGGGTGTGGACTCGGGTAACTCATACGCGCGTCTAGTGCCTCGGGCAGTGGACCAGAGTACGGACTAGCCTTGGGGTCAGCATCCCAGGCGTTTTGGATCCTAATTGTAGGACAGTCTCTGGGCCATCTCGAACTTTTTACGGAGGACGAACCTGGCCCCAAGGGAGCGTTTCTTTCTTCTTTCTCTTTCTCTCCTCTCGCCGCGGTCCTTCCCCTCCCCAATCCTCCCTCGCTCGCTCCCTCCTTCCATCCTCCCCTCCTCTCGTGCTCTTCTCTGCCTCGCCTGCTCCCAGGCATCCGACCTCGCCCCGTCTCTGTCGACAGCCTGGCTTCCCCGGGGCCCGCCGGGGGCCTCCCGAGGCCGCAGGCCGCCCAAGAGCTTCCCGGCGCGAGTCTGTGACGACGCGGGGAGCAGTGGCTTTCGGGTCACGGCTCGGGTCTCCACCGGCCGACTGGCACGAGCCGCCTCCCACCCCCCCCTCGGACGCTCTCGTCGGTATCGTTTGTGACCGATCCCCTACCCCCATCCCCATCCCGTTCCCGTTCGAGACCCCCACCAGGTTACCGCCCCAGTTGGGGCTACACCCCTCGAAACCCTGAGGGAACGACCTGTATCCCCATCCAGGGGGGTAAATCGGCCAGTGGGGCCCAGGCCACGCCGCTGAGGATGGGGATCGGTTAAACGATACTCATCTCGTCGAGGCGCAGCTGCTGCAAAGCACCCGAGGCTGGAATGCCTCCAGGAACCAACGAAAACCCCAAGCCTCGAGCCGAAGCCTCGACGTGACTCTGTGCGCTCAGGGGTCCCCAGGAGTGCCCCCCAGGCCCAGGGTGAAGTCGGGCCTGTCCCTCTACAGGAGGAATATTCAAACACGGTCCAAGAGTAGACTGGGGACGGAGTTCAGTTGACTAGTTTTCGGAGTACGTTCTGAAGACTTTTCGACACCCTGTTATATTTTTCCTCCGAAGTCCGCCCGTAGGAGGACGTGCCCGACCCGAGCCCGGGGCCGTCCCGAGGCCCCCCCCGCTCTTGCTCGGCGGGGCTCGGCGAGGCGGGACGCCGCCGAGCGCCGCGGAGCCGCGGGGCACCTCGGGCCGCCCCCCCATCGTGCGTCGGCTGCACGCGAAGGGCGGTCCTTCGGCTCCAGCTTCTCGGAGCGTGTTCGTCGGCTTCCCTTTAGGTCGGGCACGTCCTCCTACAGGCGGATTTTGGATGAAACATAGAAGCAGTCCAGACAGATTCGAAACATTTTTACAAGTAGTCAAAAAAAACAGTCCCCGGATTATTTTTGGACTATTTTTGATTATTCCTTCTGTAGAGGGACAGGCCCGACTCAAGGCTTCTGGAGGTTTTTCTGCCTTTCCGAAGCTCGTCGGGTCGATCCAGGCTCGGGGCTTTCGGGCGCCGTCGTCGGCCCTTCTCGGTCTTCGACCCGCGGGGTGCGTTCCATCAGCTGCGCCTCGCCGAGGGCCTTCGGGGGGTGCCCGGATCGTGCCGAACGGCCGCCGGGGACCCGAGGTGTGGCCCGAGAGCTGCGTGACCGTTCGCTGGAGCGACCTTCGGTGGGCGGCTGTCGCGGAGCGCGCCTGGGGGGGGGGCTGGGGGGGGGGGCAGGCCCAAGCACGCATGCCGCCACTGTCGCGCCGCGTGCAGCGATCCGTGAGCCGCGCACCAGCTGGCACTCTTGCCCAGGGCCACGTCTTGCGTGCCATGTCTGGCGGGGTCGCGTTCTGCCGACGCGGCGGCGACCCCAGCGCGGGCGTTCAAGGTTGCCGCCGCTGCAGCTGCCTGCAGTCGGCCTGCGAACTCGGAAGGCCGCGACCGTTCAAGCTGAAACGATCCGTGCAGCGTCGAAAACTGACGCGCAGGTCGCCACGGCAGAAACCGGCCGCAGCCGACCAACGTCCGGCCTGCCCAGCTTGAAGAGGCTGCAGCCTCTCCTGCCGCAGCCTCTTCAAACTGGGCAGGCCGGCGTCCCGTTGTGGGTTCTCGCCTCCCGGAGGGGGGGCGGCCATCTTGCCCGGGGGACCCTCCGGAGAGGGCGCGAAGGCAGGCACGCTGCCGCCGCCTGGGACGGGGCCCTGGCACCTCCTCGTGCCGTGAGAAGAAAAAGCACGACGGAAGGTGATTGCTGGCCGCAATGGGCCTCCGGGCTTGAGTCGGGCCTTTCCCTCTACAGGAGGACTGTTCAAAAATAGTTTAAAAATTGTCTGGGGGACGATTTTTTTTGACTAGTTTTGCGTATTTCTGAGCATCCTGTGGGTATTTTTTTTTTTTCGTCGAAAATCCGCCTGTAGGAGGACATGCCCAACCAATCTCCAGGGGCCTCCACCATGCCCCAGGACAATTAGAGAACGACTCGGAATAAGAAGGCGGGCCCTGCTCGTCGCCACGCCGGGCGAGTAGACCCGTGATGAACTCTGGGACTTGGACCCGGACGGCTGCAGCAGGTGGAGGGCGGGGGAAGCTGGAGATTCTGGGTTCGGGAAGGCGTTTTGCCATTTTCGGCCCCCGGGGCATTTTTTTCGGGCCCCGGGACCGTCCACAACGGATCCGGGGTGAAAGTCTGACCAGATGGACCCCGGGAGGGGTCTAGGATTTCGAGTTTGAGCGGATTTGGCCTTATCGATTCTTGACCGATTTGCTTGGAGCCCATCCAACTCAGATCGGCGTCATCCCAACATACCAATACTATGTGTGCGTCGCCGCCCTACCAGACCCCCGCAGCCGCCTCCAAGAATTGAGCAGGAAGCTCTGCTCAGACGAGGGCCATATTCCTGGGCGGTGGGCCCCGTCTTCGCGCGCTGGCCACCCCAGGCGCCCGCGGGGATGGACGCGGGAGGAAGCCCAGAGGCCCACAGGCGCGGCCAGCCAGCCATGCCCCAGGGGGCCTGGGAGATCCTCCTCGTCCTCCTCGTCCTCCTCGTCCTCCTCGTCCTCGTCCTCCTCCTCCTCCTCCGCCTCCTCCTCCTCCTCCTCCTCCTGCCCCTCCTCCTCCTCTCACCTCCTACAAGCGCGGCCAGCCAGCCATGCCCCAGGGGGCCTGGGAGATCCTCCTCGTCCTCCTCGTCCTCCTCGTCCTCCTCGTCCTCGTCCTCCTCCTCCTCCTCCGCCTCCTCCTCCTCCTCCTCCTCCTGCCCCTCCCGCACTCTAGGATCCGCGGTGCACCGGCGTAGGCTGGGACCCTTGCCCTCACCCTCGCCCTCGCCGCCATCGAAAATGGGCGACTTGGTGCGGGAGGGGGTACTCGATATCTCGGTATCTCGATACCTCGACATCTGCATGCAGAGGGCAACCTCGTGGGCATCGGCAGGCCACGATACCGATAGAAACGCTCTCGCCCGCGACAGGGGGACATCGAGCTTCGCCCCGAGCCCCTTCCCCCGTTTGTCGAGATATCGAGATATCGAGACATCGCGTCCCCGCCCAGCCCCGCCGCCGATGTCGAGATATCGAGGCATCGATTCCCGGCCCATCGCCGCCCCTGGTATCGAGATATCGAGATATCGAGTCCCCGCCCAGCGCCGCCCCTGGTATCGAGATCGAGA